AAATATCATGGGAACATTGTAAAAGCTTATGTAGAAGGTTGTAAGAGAGGGAAGGTTGTAAGTAATCTTTGCTTGGACAAATTTTTGAGCTATGTTAGTGTTCACCTAATGGCAAGGGTGGGGAAGTACATTCTGAGCAGAGAGAATGTGAGTCAGGTCCAAGAAGTATAACATTGCCAACTGACCCGTATGTGTGGACCGTAAAATATTCTGGGGTTTGATAAGAACATCATCTGCAGAAGGAGCTTCTTGATGCCAAAAAAGAAGGTGGATTTTTATCTCGCAGGCCAACGGGAGCCACTGAAGGATTTGAACCTGGAAAGTACCTATGACAGTTGTGCAGCCTTTTTTTAAAAGCCAAAAATACTGTAAATTACCACATTCTCATGATCACAAACCAAATAGTACATAATTACGTGTTAGGGACTGATTGCTTGGTGCAAGTCTTCACACTCCTGTCTCTGCAGGTGGGATCTCACACTGTTGTCCAGGTCTTTACACTGCCACCTCTACAGGTGGGATCTCACACTGTTGTCCACGTCTTCACACTGCTGTCTCTGCAGGTGGGATCTCACACTGTTATCCAGGTCTTCACACTGCCGTCTCTGCAAGTGGGATCTCTCACTGTTGTCCAGGTCTTTACACTGACTTCTCTGCAGGTGGGATCTCACACTATTGTGCATGTCTTCACACTGCTGTCTCTGCAGGTGGGATCTCACACTGTTATCCAGGTCTTCACACTGCTGTCTCTGCAGGTGGGATCTCTCACTGTTGTCCGGGTCTTTACACTGACTTCTCTGCAGGTGGGATCTCACACTATTGTGCACGTCTTCACACTGCTGTCTCTGCAGGTGGGATCTCACACTGTTATCCAGGTCTTCACACTGCTGTCTCTGCAGGTGGTATATCTCACTGTTGTCCAGGTCTTTACACTGACTTCTCTGCAGGTGGGATCTCACACTATTGTGCATGTCTTCACACTGCTGTCTCTGCAGGTGGGATCTCACACTATTGTGCACATCTTCACACTGCTGTCTCTGCAGGTGGGATCTCACACTGTTATCCAGGTCTTCACACTGCTGTCTCTGCAGGTGGGATCTCACACTGTTATCCAGGTCTTCACACTGCTGTCTCTGCAGGTGGGATTTCACACTGTTATCCAGGTCTTCACACTGCCGTCTCTGCAGGTGGGATCTCATGCTGTTATCCAGGTCTTCACACTGCTGTCTCTGCAGGTGGGATCTCACGCTGTTATCCAGGTCTTCACACTGCTGTCTCTGCAGGTGGGATCTCACGCTGTTATCCAGGTCTTCACACTGCTGTCTCTGCAGGTGGGATCTCACACTGTTATCCAGGTCTTCACACTGCCGTCTCTGCAGGTGGGATCTCACACTGTTATCCAGGTCTTCACACTGCCGTCTCTGCAGGTGGGATCTCACACTGTTATCCAGGTCTTCACACTGCTGTCTCTGCAGGTGGGATCTCACACTGTTGTCCAGGTCTTCACACTGCTGTCTCTGCAGGTGAGGTTCTCTCCTGAGAGGACCACTGGCTGGAGGCCCCCAGTTTGTGTTGGGGGATTGTCTTGAGCAAATGTCACTTCAGTATGTGAAGGCAAGAAGTCAGTATCTGGGTGTAGACTCCCTAAAACCCAGAATGAGGAATGGCTGAATCTGCAGTGATCCTGAGCTCAGTGTCTCTTAATTAACATCCTAGTCAGCTCTTGTGGAGAGCTCCAAAGTGCAAGGCTTTGCTGAGGATTGTACAACAAGGTGAGTTTTTCTCCACTTTGATTTATCTGTTAATTTGTTCTCATTCACTTTTGACTCTCTAAAAATTGTTGAAATGTCCTTTTTGCTAATGGCCTTTCTCTTCACTGTTACAAGGTTCTTACTGTTTTTATACTTATTATACCTTCTTATAGATTTCAATTTAACTCTCTTGAACTAGAATCCTAGTTTTGCTTTATAAAAAGGTTTCTGATGTCTTTAGTGGACATACCCCTTGGAGGGGCATGGCCTGGATGTAGGGGGACCTACCCAGAGATTATTGATCTCGTGGTCCAGCTGACAAGGGGTGGGGTGCTGAATTGAGGGGAGTAGTGAGCCCAGAAGGCAGAAAAGACCTAGAGAAGCCCACGGGCAGCACCACAGGCCTGGGAAGGAAGGCACAGGAGAGTTGGAGGGTGAGATGCCTACCAGGTCTTAGACCCGACCAGCTGGGCTTGCAGCAAAGCACAAGGAGAAATGAATTGGGAGCAGAATACAGAAGACCAATTTGGACAATTCGAATCTGTAGTGTCACTGAGATATCCTGGTAATTACGTCTGTAGATGGGGTGCTTGGGAGACATGTGCAGAAGAAAATCTGGATTTATAAGTCATTAGTGCCAGGACTTGATGACATGGTGTGCTGTGTTGGGGTTCCCAGAGGCCACCCTCAGCCTCAGCAATTCACTAGAAGGACTCACAGAACTCAGAAAAGCTGTGATGCACATGGTTATGGTTTATTACAGTGAAAGGAGGAGTTGAAACCCGGCAAAGGCAAAGGCCAAGGCCATGAGAGCAGAGTTCAGGGGAGGCTGGCTGTCAGCTTCCACTTGCCCTCTCCCAGTGGGTCTACACAGAAGCACCTACTTCTCCCCATAGTGATGAGTGACAACAACATAGAGGACCGGCAACCAAGCAGTCTCAGCCCTGGTTTCCAGGGGTTTCACTGGAAGTTGGTCACCTAGGCATGGGGTACCCAGGCCACTGACCTTAGCTGCTCAGTCTCCAGATCCTGCAGAGGTCAGCTTCACACCACATGGCCGGAAACCAAACCCCTCCTCTTCCACACGGACTAAATCATGTTGTCAGCATAAAGTGTGCGGCAGGGCCCAAGGCCCCAGGAAAAGAGATACTCTTCTCAGGCAGGACACTTCCAGGGCAGGGATTAGAGGTTTACTCCTGGAGCCAGGCAAAAGTCAGACCTTTCTTGGAATTTAACCTGTGGGATGGGATGAAGTCTCTAGGATGGGTACAGAGGACGGAAAGCGAGGAGACCCGCAAGCAGTGCTGTAGAGCACCCCGACTTCCCAGGGAGAGTCAGAAAGGGAGAATGACAGGCGAGAGGACAGCCTAGAGGGTGCCCCAGAGCTAAGGGCGCAGGGCGGCCAAGGGAACCACACCACATGTGACAGGGAATTCAGGCAGGAGGCTGCCTGGAAAAGGTCCATGGACTTAGCCATTTGGGGTGAGAACCATTTTAACAGAATGTTTCCTCTGGGGTGGCTGGGGTTGGCTCTAAATGTTGGGAGGTGGGGATGGGAGCACAGGCGTATGTTGTGAGCTGCTTGAATCTGAAGGGAAGGAGAGTGACAGGGTGGCAGCTGGCAGGGAACAGCAGGTGGAGAAATGTGTTTCCCTAAACATGGGATATGGGAAGACATGACTAAGTGTAGAGAGTGTGGGCAAGAGGCTGGAAATGCAAGCGAGTGAGAGTGAGAGAAACTGCTAGGGAGAGACGACCTGGAAATTTGGGACGGAGAGGGAGCTGTGCGGAGGGAGAGCGTGCTGTGCGGAGGGGTATGTTGGAGGACAGAGGAGGCTGTAGGATCTGGAGAGCCACTCTAGAAAAAAGAATGGGAACGGACGGGGAAGACAGGAACTGCAGAGGATGGCTGAGGCGCTTAGCACATTGTGAACTAGTGCAGAATGTCAGAGCGTGATAAAGAAACAGAGGGTGTAATTTTGGAGGTTATGTCTGATGACAAAGCCTGTGGTGTGGCCCCGGGATTGGACAGGTGAAGTGCAGTGGGGTCTGGGGGCTAAGAATTGCTGAAAGTCAGGGTTGGAATTTGATCACCCACAGGACCAAGGTGCCTAACTTGAATGAGAGGCAGGCACTGGACTGGAAGTTCCACTGGGTTGGTATTCTGGAAGCTCATGGTAATGTCTTCCTTCATGTATAAGGTAGCAGTGAAGATGACTTAAGCGGTAGGTAGCAGAAAGCCTAAAATAAACTGGCTGAAGCAATGTGGAAATGCGGATGTCAGCCTCAGAGCCAGCTGATCACGGGACTCCAGGTCTGTCTCTTGGCTGTTCTCCAAGCTTGGCTGTCCTCTGTATGTGGGCTTAATTCTTTAAAAACGTTTAATTAAGAAAATTTGTGGTAAAATACATATTGCATAAAATCACCATCTTAGCCATTTTAAGGGCACAGTTTAATGGTGGTAAGGACACTCCTATTGTTGTACATTACTATCATCCATCTCCAGAGCTCTTCTCATCTTATAGAACTGAAATTCTGTGCCACTTACACAAATAACTGCCCTTCCCTTTCCCCAGCCCTGACAACCACCAATCTACTTTCTGTCTCTCTTAACTGACTACTCTAGGAACCTCACAATAAGTGGAATAATACAGTATTTGTCCTTTTGTGTCTGGCTTATGTCACTTGGCCTCATGTCCTCAAGGTTCATCCATGTTGTAGGATATGTCAGAATTTCCTTCCTTTTTCAGGCTGAATAATTTTCCATAGTATAGACAGACTACACTGGAAAAAATCTGTTCACCCGTCAATGGATGTTTAGGTTGTTTCTCTCTTTGGGCGATTGTGAAGAAGGCTGCTGTGAATACGGATGTACAAATATCTCTTCGAGTCCCTGCTTTCATTTCTTTTGGGTAGATACCCAGAAGTGGAATTGCTGGGTCTCATAAAATTCTACATACAATATTTTGAGGAACTATTGGACCATTTTCCATAGCTACTATGCCATTTTATATTCCACCAACTATGGGTTTAATTCTTTTATTATTATTATTATTATTTTTATTGCATTTTAGGTTTTGGGGTACATGTGCAGAATGTGCAAGATAGTTGCATAGGTACACACGTGGCAGTGTGTTTTGCTGCCTTCCTCCCCTTCACCCACATTTGGCATTTCTCCCCAGGCTATCCCTCCCCAGCTTCCCCCACCAGTGTCCCTTCCCTATTCACCCCAATAGACCCCAGTGTGTAGTACCCCGTTCCCTGTGTCCATGTGTTCTCATTTTTCCTCACCTGCCTATGAGTGAGAATATGTGGTATTTCATTTTCTGTTCTTGTGTCAGTTTGCTGAGAATTATGTTCTCCAGATTCATCCATGTCCCTACAAAGGACATGAACTCATCATTTTTGATTGCTGCATAATATTCCATGGTGTATATGTGTCACATTTTCCCAGTCCAGTCTATCATCGATGGGCATTTGGGTTGGTTTCAGGTCTTTGCTATTGTAAACAGTGCTGCAATGAACATTCGTGTACATGTGTCCTTATAGTAGAATGATTTATAATCCTTTGGATATATGCCCAGTAATGGGATTGCTGGGTCAAATGGAATTTCTATTTCTAAGGCCTTGAGGAATCGCCACACTGTCTTCCACAATGGTTGAACTAATTTGCACTCCCACCAACAGTGTAAAAGTGTTCCTATTTCTCCACATCCTCTCCAGCATCTGTTGTCTCCATATTTTTTAATGATCACCATTCTAACTGGCATGAGATGGTATCTCAATGTGGTTTTGATTTGCATCTCTCTAATGACCAGTGATGATGAGCATTTTTTCATGTGTTTGTTGGCCTCATGTATGTCTTCTTTTGTAAAGTGTCTGTTCATATCCTTTGCCCATTTTTGAATGGGCTTGTTTGTTTTTTTCCTGTAAATTTGTTTGAGTTCTTTGTAAATTCTGGATATCAGCCCTTTGTCAGATGGGTAAACTGCAAAGATTTTTTCCCATTCTTTTGGTTGCCGATTCACTCTAGTCACTGTTTCTTTTACCATGCAGAAGCTGTGGAGTTTGATTAGGTCCCATTTGTCTATTTTGGCTTTTGTTGCCAATGCTTTTGGTGTTTTGGCCATGAAGTCCTTGCCTACTTCTATGTCCTGAATGGTTTTGCCTAGATTTTCTTCTAGGGTTTTTATGGTGCCAGGTCTTATGTTTAAGTCTTTAATCCATCTGGAGTTAATTTTAGTGTAAGGTGTCAGGAAGGGGTCCAGTTTCTGCTTTCTGCATATGGCTAGCCAGTTTTCCCAACACCATTTATTAAACAGGGAATCCTTTCCCATTGCTTATTTTTGTCAGGTTTATCAAAGATTGTATGGTTGTAGATATGTTGTGTTGCCTCCGATGCCTCTGTTCTGTTCCATTGGTCTATATCTCTGTTTTGGTACCAGTACCATGCTGTTTTGATTACTGTAGCCTTGTAGTATAGTTTGAAGTCTGGTAGTGTGATGCCCCCTGCTGTGTTCTTTTTGCTTAGAATTGACTTGGCTATGTGGGCTCTCTTTTGGCTCCATATGAAGTTCATGGTGGTTTTTTCCAGTTCTGTGAAGAAATTCAATGGTAGCTTGATGGGGATAGCATTGATTCTGTAAATTACTTTGGGCAGTATAGCCATTTTCATAATATTGATTCTTCCTAACCATGAACATGGAATGTTTCTCCATTTGTTTGTGTCCTCTCTTATTTCATTGAGCAGTGGTTTGTAGTTTTCCTTGAAGAGGTCCCTTAAGTTCCTTGTGAGTTGTATTCCATGGGCTGGACCCAGAATGTGTGTCTCCAGGCCCTCCAGCCCTCCAGAAGTGCTCTCATGCTCACACACCAGGACCCAAGCCTGAAGGCTGGGAGGTGGCCAGGGCTGATGGAGTGGAGCCTGCAGCCAGCATCGGGCCTGCTCTGCCGGCCACAGGTGCCTCATTCTTTCTGGCCAACTGGCTGGATATTCTGGGCACAGAGTGCAGTTTGGTGGAGGAAAGGCAATTCCTTTACTTGTGTTGCAACGTTCCATAAAAGATGTGCATTTATAACTGGGACTCTGATAGCCTTGGGTTAGTCCCAGGTGGGCCACTGAAATGGACCTATTAATTTCAGTCCTGAGGTACAGACAGGAAGGCCATTTATTACAAGGTAAACCTAAGCGAAAGTTCAGATCTACCAGTGCTTCTTAATCCTAACTGGATATTGAGATAATCTGGGAGATAGACACAGATACCTGAGTACCCCTTTCTCCCCAGATCCTGGTTTAATTGGTCTGGGTGAGGCCCAGGCATCAGCATACTGTCAAAGCTTTTGGGTGAGTTCATCGTGCTCCTGGCTTCGAGTGAGGACTGCTGACTTGAAGAGTTACGTCAGGTAAAAATGCATTTTCACTTACATACATGTTGCAAGACCATTTCTCTAAAACGGAATTCCGTCTACCTTTCCACATTACTTCTGCCTTCTGCTTAAGTGGAGCATGGATGCTTCTCTGACTTTCAGAATGACGGTGCAGTGACTCAGGATTGTCAGGAAAAGGCTGTTTTGTGAACACGTGGTTTTCTTTCATTAACTTTGTAATGAAGTGGGGGGACTCTTGCCACACTTGGAGACGTGTCTCCCCAGAGTGTCATCTACAATGGGAGAAGACCCTTGGGCCGCATTCCTCCAGTTTCGGGGAAAGGAACTGTGCCTCAGGCCTCACGGGGTTGTTTACCAGCTTCCAGCCTCTGGCAACAGAGTCACAGCCTCTTTCCAGGCCACTTTCCCACAGTCACTTCTATGATTTAAGGTCACATTAGGAAAGAGATGGCAGATGCCAGTTCCCAGGTCCATGACCAAAGATTCGGAGGAAAAAGCTTTGGAAACAAATAAGTCCGGCTTTTCCCAAAACCACATGTCAGCAGGTGACGGGCAGGCTCTGCTGAAGCTTTCACTGCAGCCATTACTGGCTCTTGTGAAAAGGTCAAGGCCATAATTCAGATGCTGCAGCCACTTCCCCAGCTTCACAAAGGGAACATGGATTACAAATATGGAATAAAGGGTAGGTTCTGCTTAGACCCTGGTCACTCAACTATCCCGGGACTCGGGTTACCAGATGGTACCCTCCTGCCTGCTTTGGAGGCCCCTCCAGCCTGGGCATGGTGCACCTGAGAGCCATCTCCAGACAGCCCTCTCCGCCATGCTGCATATGCTGGGGTCCCTCTCTGTACCCCCGGATTGGACAGGCAGGCCTGCCCTTTTCTTCCCTTCCTTTGAGAATGAAGTGCCCTTGGGCCCTGGGATGTTCAAGGTCTCCCTCAGCCTCTCTTTCTGCCTGTGTGAAAGCATCTGCCAGGTTAGGTCTGAGAGGCTAGGACAGACCCTGCCTCTGAGGTCTGGCCTTGGCTCCATATTCCCGGCATCAACTCCAAAAGGTGGCTGACCAGTGGTAGGCCCTAAACAGCCCTGTGTGAGGGCTGGTGCTCTAGTATGACTGTGTGAGCCTCTTCATCCGGGCACTGGGCCTCAGATGGGGGACCTGCCTTCAGCAGATGGCCTGGGATGCTTTGACCTCCATGCTGCTGGCCTAGCCTCCTGGACTTTCTGTGGCTCCGGGCGGGTGGGCATAACTCCAGCAGGGCCTCCTGGGGCAGCAGAGAAAGCACCCCGGTCCCCTTTCCCACCCTCTAACAGTGGGGACTCGGACTTCCCTGGGTGTCCCAGGCCTTTCTGGTTGCAGCAGGAGGATCCTGTGCGTTTGATCTAAATCTGGTCTCCTGCTGGAGAGGCCCAAACAATCTCAGTCAAAACAGTATTAACAGGAAACCTGTCTCTCAGGGCCAAGAATGCAACCAAAATAGCTCCAAGTCTTCAATTCCGAAAGCACTGTTTGGGAGGACTTCACCTGAGAGAGACAATAAGTGGAACTCTGTCCCCAGATCTCCCGCCCTGCCTCTGACCCTCCATGGGTCCTGGTGGAATACAGGGAGGGTGGGGCTGCTGGGTGCCGGGCTCCCCAGGCCTGTGGTGAGCCTGACTTTCTTCTGAAGGCAGAGCTGGGAATTCCAGCTCCAATCCCACTGTGCTCTTGAGAATGCCACAATCAAAAGGCTTGTTTGACTAAATTAACTGACAAAGTTTTTCTTTTTTTTTTGAGATAGAGTATCACTATGTTGTCCAGGCTGGAGTGCAGTGGTGTGATCCTGGCTCACTGCAACCTCTGCCTCCTGGGTTCAAGTGATTCAGCCTCCTGAGTAGCTGGGATTACAGGTGCTCACCACCACGCCTAGTTAATTTTTTTTTTTTGATTTTGAATAGAGATGGGGTTTCACCATGTTGGCCAGGTTGGTCTTGAACTCCTGACCTCAGGTTATCCACCCACCTCAGCCTCCCAAAGTGCTGCAATTACAGGCATGAGCCACTGTGCCCGGCCTACATATTTTGTTTTGTGGACATAACAGAGAATTTTAGAAGGAAAAATCATTTTTTTTAAAAAAGCATCTAATTTCACTGTGAAATATTTACGAACTCAAGAAACACTACAAGGAAGAAGATAAAAGTCACCCATAATCTTAAAATACAAGGAGAGCACAGCTCAAGCCTGTGGGAATGGTCAACATTTCTATTTATGTGTACACATCTACACAGACACCAGACACACTTCACAGTTTTTAATGGGTTTGTGTATCTCTTGCTTTACTATTTTCCTCTCCCTCCAGGCAGCCCTTGCCACCAGCTTCCAGAGGTGTCCTCCTGGCCTACAGCACCCCTGTATTTGTTCAGAGCTTTTGTGTGCAAGTGGTAGCACAGCAAGGTACTTTTGTGGCCCTTCCTTTCCTTTTGAACTTGACTCTGGACCTTGGAGAGCCTTCCAAATCAGTATAGACCTGCTTCTTTACAAACTTTTATAATATTCTACTGTATGATGACATCATAATTTATTCAGTCCCCTATTGTGAGCATTTAAATTGTTTTCAGACTTATTAAAAAAAAACCTCAGTTTTTCACTTTGTAGAAGTGGTGTCCCTGAATCAAACACTTCCCGTCCTGAGCGCTGTTGCCAGCCTGCCCTCCTCTGAGCTTGTACACCTGCACTCCCACTTGCCATATCCAGGAGAGTGTTGATCTCCTGGTACCTCACTCATACAGTTTGCCATCACAGCTTTTGAATTTTGCCAACTTGCTAAGTGAAGAATAGCACTGCCTTTCTTTTAAGAGTGAGATTGAAATCCATTCCCATATTTGAAAGCATTTGCACTTTTGTTTCTCTGAACTGTTCATGTTGTTTCGCTCAGTTTTCTACTGGGCTGTTGGTATCTCTCTTTTTCTTGTCTCTTTCTTGTTACTTTTTACTTTTTGGCCACTACTTCTTTACTTCGTCTTAGCCCAGCAAGAATAGAAGCCACGCACAATATGGTTTCTTTTTCTTCTTTCAAATCTCCTACCTCACAGACTGTCTGTTTCCTGCAAACATGGCTTCACCATGGTTCCTCACTCAGCCTGTTTCCTGATGCTTGCTTTCCTTGACAGGTGACCAAACTAGGTCCAGAGTAGCTCCTACCACCAACCCATGCACCCAGCTCCCAGAGGGCAACTTTATTCTGCAGAGAAACTTCTAGTAATGTACCACACATGCTGGAAGAGGCAGCATGCCAGGTGGTAAAGAAAATATTTAGTTATTTTGGCTGGAAATTTTGTCCTCTATAAAATTATCTGTGGTAGTTGGTGGAGAAAAAAAAGCTTTTAGAGTCGAATATTATTGATTCAGTTTCTTCACAGTTGTTCTGGCAAAGTCTATGTAATTGCAAAAATGATTTGCTTTACTTAGAGTTTTGCTCCTCATTCATTATTCTAAGATGTGAAGTTCTAAAGAGGCTGAGGTCTCTATCGGGAAAGGTTTCCTTATCATCAGTCTGAACGTGGTATGTCATCTGAACTTTTGCCTGTGATCTTTAAATCCTTTAAAGGTTATTTCTATGTACTGGTCTTTTAGTTCCATCTTGTAAGAAATAGCCACAGGAAAAGGACTATGGCTAGCACAGTGGACAAACATAAATACCATTTTGCAGAAACGACCAGACTTTTTCCACTCTGTCCTCCCCAGCCTGCTCCCTGCCCAGTGATAGCGAGATCCACTCTGTGTCTTTCTTCCCTCTCTTCTCATCTGTGCAATTCCTGCATTTGGAGGCATCAGGATCTAGAGTGTTAGGCAACAGGCTCTGCCCCTCACTCCTTATTTACATGAATTTTATTTCTGTGTTGAAGGCTCCCTTGCCTCTAAACTGCTGACTGCATGGTTTGGATGCTCAGCCTGTGACCTGTTCAAGGAGGATGCCATCAGGGTGGTCTGTCACTTCTGAGCCATGAAGGATGTTCAGACCTAGCTGTTCTTAGTTCAAAATTCTACTGTTCAGAAAATGATTTTCTTTCTTTTTCCCCTATAAACATTAATAAAGGATTCATCATGTTATCATATTTGCTACAGAATCTTTGCTATATAGCGAAGATTTTTTTCCAAAGGAGAAATATTATCTCAGACTGCAGGTAATCTGCCAGTGTTTGTGATTATGAATACTAAATGTGTCTAGAATCATTGCTATCTTGCTCTCTGCTGGCATTGGAGAGTACCAATAGTAATAAACATAATGAAAAGAATAATAGCAATTGTGAAGCACTTCATAAGTGCCGGACGCTCTTGAAAGCACTTGATTTTTATTAACTCATTTGATCTTCATAAAAAATGTGAGGAACACTTGCTACCTTTGTTTTACAAGAGGAGATCTTGGCGCAGGGAGGTTAAAAACCTTGTCTGAGGTACATAGCCACAAGTAGAGCAAGACTGGAATTGCAGAACACTGCACGCATTATGCAATGAGAGAATTTGCTGGACCAGGAAGTTGAACTAAGAAATTCATCAGCCGGCAGGGCACAGTGGCTCTTGTCTGTAATTCCAGCACTTTGGGAGGCTGAGGCTGGTGGATCACTTGAGGTTAGGAGTTCGAAACAAGCCTGGTCAACATGGAAACCCTGTCTCTACTAAAAATGCAAAATTAGCTGGGAGTGGTGATGGGCACCTGTAATCCCAGCTACTTGGGAGGCTGAGGCAGGATAATTGCTTGGGATTATTTAGAAGGCAAATGTATATGCCTTTCTTTTCAATTGAGAGCCCTCCTTGTGTGATTGGAACTACAGCCACGGTAGGATTGTGTGTGTGGTCATGCTTGCCCTGGTGCTATCTAGGGCACACTGGCTAATTGAGACACAGTCTTTTTCCTCAAAGCCTCTAAACATTGGCCCTGGTTAAAGACATAAGACACGTTAGTTACATGGTATCATCCTGTTATTGATTTTCAGGATGAGTTTCCTAGAAAATTCTTGTGTTCCAAATCTTCAAGAGGTAAATGGAAGATGTTCAAAAGGCCTGAGCTTACCAGCTGACAGATACTTTGGATTGAAGTGCTTAGTTCGTTTCTAATCTGTGGCTGATATGCAGTCCTGGGTGCAGATCAGAGAAAGCTGAAAAACCGTATTTTCCAGTTGTCATTGTGGCTGGGATCCCAGGTGGGTTGCATGTCCTGCCAGTGAGATGCATCTCTTGAGAACTTAAACCTGGAACTGAGTGGAGGGACTCGTGCAGCCTGGGGAGCCATTTTCTGATGTGGATTCTTCAGGGAACTCTGTTTTGGATTTTCGCTTGGTAACTGGCACATCGTTGACTCTTCGCTGTTAACAATTTTTACAAGTCTCTAGAAGTAAGTCTTTTCTTTGTATTTCAGATTGGTTTGGGAATTGTTTTGGAAACTGAATTCATATGAATTTAGAAATGAGTTTCATCTTTGTTTTTTAGTATGTAAAACATTTTGTTTCCAAAGTCAAAACTCTGTAGGTGTCTTCTGAGAAGTCTACCTTGCATTCCTATCCTCACTACCTTGTTTCTCCTTCCCCCTTTATGTAACCAATTAAAAACAATTGTTTTTGGTTTGCTTTTTGAGCATTTCTTTTCAAAAATATAAGGAGATACAGTTATATGTGTGTTTCTCCTTCTTTCTTACCCAAAAGTTCTGCACTGTATTTCCCATCATGCTCTTGGTTCTTTTCCCTGTAACAGTATCTCCTCCACTGTTTTAGGTCAGAATTTGGAGTGAAGAGCTTGTTCTTTCTCTTGCCCTGGCTACAACCCCAAACACAGTGCCCTTGTGGGGAAACTCCGCTCCCCATTTAGTAAGATGCTGGCTTTAGGGTGGAGTTGGTTTATCTACGAAATCATGTCAGGGAAGTATCTGACAATTCTTTCTTAACTGAACATTTTTAAATATCAGAAATGGGTGTCAGATTTTGTTAAGTGTAGACAAAAACCATGCCTATTTTTAAATGAAAATAATTTAACATAAAGAACTGTGCATTAAATGGCAAGAAGGGACTGCTAAGACATCTGAGAGGTCAGAGGTGGGGAACAAAGGGGAGAGGAGGGACCACATGGAACTCAGCCCTCTGAGGGGGCCCCCCCCAACCTCCTGTGCTCAGGCTGGGGCCAGAGGCTCCAGAGGCTCCTGGAGCCGGACGCAGAAGCCTGATGGAGGCAGTGGCCAGCCGGGGGAGCAAGTGTAAATAGCACACTGGACTCAAATTCTGCTCCTGGAACACACCAGCACATTTGAGGTGAAGAGGTGAGGATGGGATGGTACTGGCTGAAGAGGAAGCAAACAGGAAGACTGACACCCCGAGCTCTACCACCTCCCTTTTGGTCGTCTACTGCAGGGCCGAGTGGGCGCAGCTGGCAGAGCAGCGATGCTGTTTGCAGGGCACCAGCCATAGTATTGCAGAGTGAAGTGATGAGTGCAGGCACGAAGCTCAGGGATGGCAGCTTGATAACTGGCACAGCACCTGTGGGAACGACATGACTTTTCTTCTTGGAGATATGGATATCATGAGTCACACATTAATGTGATTAGGCGTTGGAAAATCTCTTTGCTTTCTGGAATGAATCCCACCTGGTCATGACGCATTGTTTTGTATATATACTGTTTGCTCACACTTTAATACTCATATATTAGTATTTATAAGTGAATTTGGTTTATAGTTTTTAAATAAAAAACTGTTCAATTTATGTATGTTTGAATTTTTATAATAAGAAGTTTCTAAAATTAGACTAAATTCCATTCTCATTTCTTTTTTTTTTTTTTAGTTTTACTTTAGGTGTATATGATATCCAGCATTTCTCCCCATTTTATCCCTCCCCACTCTCCCCACCCTCCCCATCCCCTGCTGTCTCTCCCCTACCACCCCCCAACTGCTCCCAGTGTGTGATGCTCCTCTCCCTGAGTTGACGCATTCTCCTTGTTCAACACCTGCCTATGAGTGAGAACGTGCGGTGTTTGGTTTTTTGTTCTTGTGTCAGTTTGCTGAGAATGATGGTTTCTAGATTCATCCAAGTCCCTACGAAGAACACAAACTCATTATTTATTATGGCTGCATAGTTAGATATTAATATCATTGTTAGGTTTGTTTGGTAAAAAGAATTTGGAAGTTGTAATCCTTTCCCCTGTGAAACCATCAGGGCCGGGTGTATTATTTGGTGAGAAGTCTTGCCATTTTCTCCATACCTTCTATAGTAATTGATCTCTTCAGATTTTCTGTCTCAAAAGATTCAAAGTTGATACCTTATATTTTCCTAAATATTATTTATTTCATTTAGGTTATCAAATTAATTTAATAAGTTAGCAAAGTATTACCTTAAATATTAAAACGTCCTCTATTTCAGTGTTTCCCCCTTTGTCTCATTCTGTTTGTATATTTGTGCTTTTTTTTGATAGCATTTTCTGTACTTTGTGGATTTTTTCCCAAAGCAATAGCTTTTTGATCATTTATTAGTTTTACTGTTTTTTTATTTTTCTAACTCAATGTCTGCTCTTTATTCTTATTCTGTTTTTTAAACATTAGTTTTATTTCTTTCCTATTTATTTTTTGATATAGATACTTAACACTATGATTTTTTCTCTGAGCTCAGCTGAACAATATTCTAGAGTCTTCATATGTGGGTGGAGAATTCGACTTTAGTATTCCATAATTTCTGATTGGCAAAGTTGTGTTATCAGATACACAAATATTAGTAAGTTATATCTTCATTATAAATTATAGCCTTTAGCATTAAAAAGTGTTTTTGTTTTGCTTATTGCTTTTTGGCTAAAATTCTACATTGATATCAAGAGTTGCCTAGTATGAATTTTCTCATCTTTTAACTTTTACCTTTTCTTAATCTCTTTGCTCATTAGTCAGTCTGATAAATCTTTTCTTTTAATACCATGAACTAAGCCTATTTCTATTTATTGATAGGAGCAACATCTTCTCAGTTTGACCAGGTCACTTTTTACTCACTTTTATTCGGCACTGACTTGGTATCAAAGAGGATTTGTGTGTGTGTGTGTGTGTGTGTGTGTGTGTGTGTTCTAGTGACTACTTCTGTACTAATGATATACATGAAGACTTAGTTATCTTTTTCTCTAGGTAATCTCTGTTGGCTTCCTACTTTGACCAATACGGAAATTATTACAGACACCATTCCTCCTCTCTCTTCCTAAGCTTTGAATTTTAGATACCAGTATTATTTTATTGATAATCTTTGTGGTCTTCAATATACTCAAGCTTCTTCTACTTGGCTTGTCAGCAAGTGACATCGTTTTGCTCCCAGCTAACATCAAGAAGCAATCAATAAACTTCTGCTTTCTAATATCACCATCGTATCCCCTCACCTCTCCTTCTGTGAAGCGAGTGTTCAAACGTTTTGCTCTTTTGTTCACTGAGCTGTGTGTTTTCTTAATTATTAAGTGTTGAGAGTTTTAAACTCCTTTAAAAAACTGATTTGCAAATTTTCTCTCAGTCTGTATTTTTTCATTCTTTTAACAATGCCTTTTGAAAAGCAGAAGTTCTTAATTTTGATAATGTCCAATTTATAAAATTCTTCCCTTATGGATCATGGTAAGAACCCTTTGTCTAACCAAAGATCACAGAGATTTTCCTCTTATATGTTCTTCTAGAAGTTTCATAGTTTCAGGCTTTAGAGTTAGGTCTGTGCTCCATTTTGAGTTGCCTTTTGCACATGGTGCAAGGAATGGGTCAAAGCTATTTTATTGTTATTGTTTTGCATATGACAACCCAATTGCTTCAATCCCATTTTCAGAAATAGCTATCTTTATTCATTGAACAGTCTGTGCGTCTTGGTTGCAAATCAGTTGTCCATATGTAAGTAGGTCAATTTCTGGTATCTCTATTCTGTTACACTGATCTATTTTTGTATTTTTATATCAATAGCACATTGTTTCATTTATTATAACTTTATGACAAATTACAAATTAGGTCACTTGTTTTTAAAGTTGTTTTGGCTACGATCAGAGGATCCAAGACGGCTGAATAGGAACAAAGTGCAGTTCCCAGCAAGAACAACACAGAGGGTGAGTGCCCACTGCATTTCCAAACAAATTTTCACTGCCCACAGACCAGGAGATTCCGTGGCTGAAAAGCACCATGAGTTTTCAGCATGGCAGTTTCAGCTGGAGTTGGCTTGGTGCACAGAAGAAACCCACACATATCTGGGCAGCTGTTTCAACTGGTGCCTAGAACACCTGGGAGACAGAGCCACCCATTCAACTGAAAGGGAGGGGGCAGAGACAGGGAGCCAGGTGATCTGGCTTGGTGGGTACCACCCCCACAAAACAAGCAATCTGAAACACTCTGGATTGAGAGTTTTGCAGCAAGTGCAGCTGAACCCAGGACAGTCCAGCTCATTGCGGGGAAGGGCGACCACCAATACTGAAGCAGTTCACAGAGAAGCTGGACAGAGTCTGTGGCAGCTCAGCAACACCTCTGCTGGCAGACTGTGACTAGATTACTCTATGCGAGGTAGGGCATCTATGAAAAAAGGTAGCAGCAAGACAGGAACTTATAAATAAAGCTGACCTTCTTAGGACAGAGCACCTGGGAAAAGAAGCAGTTATTAATTCAGCTGCAGCAAACTTAAAAATACCTGCCTAGCAGCTCTGCAAAGAACAACGGAACTCCCAGCTCAGCACTTGAGCTCCTATAAGGGACAGACTATCTCCTCAAGCAACTCCCCAGCCTCTGTATACCCAAAGAGACACCTCATAAAAGAGAGCTCAGGCTGACATCTGGCAGGTACCCTTCTGGGAAAAAGATAACAGAAGAAGAAACCAGCAGCAACCCTTACTGTTCTACAGCCCCCATGGGTGATCCCCAGGCAAGCAGGGTCTGGAGTGGACCTCCAGCAGTCCTGCAGCAGAGGGGCCTATTAGAAGAAAAACTAAGAAATAGAAAGAAATAATAAATCAATAAACAGGACATCTGCTCAGAGACTGCATCTGAAAGTCACCAACTATAAAGACTACAGGTAGATAAAGCCCCTAAGATGGGAAGAAACCAGTGCAAAAAGATGAAAACACCAAAAACCAGAATGCTCTACACCTCCAAAGGATCACAGTTCCTCACCAGCTAGGGATCAAAGATGGATGGAGAATGAATCTGATGAATTGACAGAAACAGGCTTCAGAAGGTGGGTAATAACAAACTTCTCAGAGCTAAAAAACATGTGATAACCCATTGTAAAGAAACTAAGAATCTAGAAAAAAAGGTTAGATGAGAGGCTAACTAAAATAAACAGCTTAGAGAAGAATATAAACTACTTGATGGAGCTGAAAAACACAGTGTGAGAACTTCACAAAGCATACACAAGTTTCAATAGCCAAATCAACAAAGCAGAAGAAAGGATATCAGAGATTGAAGATCAACTCAACGAAATAAAATGAAGGCAAGAATAGAGAAAAAAAGAGTGAAAAGAAATAAAGCCTCCAAGAAATATGGGATTATGTGACAAGACCTAACCTACGTTTGATAGGTGTACCTGAATGTGATGCAGAGAAAGAATCCAAGCTGAAAAACACTCTTTAGGATATTATCCAGGAGAACTTCCCCAGTCTAGCAAGGCAGGCCACCAATCAAGTCCAGGAAATACAGAGAACACCACAAAGATATTCCTCAAGAAGAGCAACCCCAAGGCATGTAATCATCAGATTCACCAGGGTTGAAATGAAGGAAAAAATGCTAAGGGCAGCTAGAGAGAAAGGTCGGGTTACCCACAAAGGGAAGCCCATCAGACTCACAGCATATCTCTCAGCAGAAACCCTACAAGCCAGAAGAGAGTGGGGGCCAATATTCAACATCCTTAAAGAAAAGAATTTTCAATCTAGAGTTTCATATTCAGCCAAACAAAGCTTCATAAGTGAAGGAGAAAGAAAATCCTTTATCCACAAGTAATTGCTGAGAGATTTCATCACCACCATGCCTGCCTTACAAGAGCTCCAGAAGGAAGCACTAAACAAGGAAAGGAACAACCAGTACCAGCCACTCCAAAAGCATACCAAATGGTAAAGACCATCGACACAATGAAAAAAATGTGTCAACCAACAGGCAAAACATCCAGCTAGCATCAAAATGGCAGGATCAAATTCACACATAACAATTTTAACCTTAAATGTAAATGAGTTAAATGCCCCAGTCGAAAGACACAGACTGGCAAATTGGATAAAAAGTCAAGACCCATTGGTGTGCTGTATTCAGGAAACCCATCTCACATACAAGGACAGACATAGGCTAAAAATAAAGGGATGGAGAAAGAACTACCAAGCAAATGGGGAGGAAAAAAAAAGCAGGAGTTGCAATCCTAGTCTCTGATAAAATGAACTTTAAACCAACAAAGGTCAAAAGAGACAAAGAAGGCCACTACATAATGGTAAAGGATCAATGCATCAAGAAGAGCTAATGAACCTAAATATATACACACCCAATACAGGAGCACCCAGGTACATAAAGCAAGT